ATGCAAAACTTGTGTCACAACTTGATCACAATACACTGAATTGCAGGTCGTGTACTTTAAGAAAAAAATTCCCAACCACAAGATTATCAGAAATCATCTTACCCGTGTCATCATATAAGACCCTCTTCATTGAATTTACTTGAGATGCTTTTCAAAATAATATGTGCACAAATACGATGGTTATGAATACACTTGCTCAAATTGCTATTAACGGGGAGGATGTTTGCAATACATCAAGTGTGAAATTAGAGAGATTGGTGATAGCTCCATCACATTCTCTACACCAATCAATTTATTCCTGAGAATGATAAACTCTTAGACTCTTCAATAAGATGTTTTATACATGCAATACATTTAGTAAATAACCTGTTTATTATATTTTGCTACGGCACACACATAAAAAAAAATAAGCGAACTCTCTCTATTTGTATTTGATAGTGATTGGAGGTACATCGACATCCTCACCTTCTTCATCTTCACAACATGCTTGCAAGACCAAGTAACGTACATGAGCAGGAATATCCTTCTTTGTAACCAATTTGATCACTTGTGAAATCGGTAAATTTAATCTCTCTTGCTTCTTCTTTGGTGGGAAAAATGAAGCATACAATACAACAACATCATATGACAAGATGGAAACCTCCAACTTATCTTCTTCGGCAAATTTGTCAATCAACTCCTGTAACGTCAAGTCTCTGTCAATTATGATTTGGTCCCATACTTGATCGTATTCTTTAGCTCCATACTTACCACGAGCCGATTTTATTGGCTCAGAAAATCCAATAAAGGGTAAAGCCAAATTGATGAATCCATTCTTGTATTGTTCAATATCATCCTTCTTATCAACAACCTTGTATAACTCAAGACACACTAACCCAGTGACTAATGCAGTCGTAGTGGCAATCGCAGGAATAATCTTACCAGCAATGAATTTGGTCTTGTGCGCATCGGCAGTTTCAATACCATAGTTCAATGCCCTACAATTCGAAGCAGCGGTAATAAATTGTATGTGGTGGTTGGTATCGTCATCTTTTTCAAACTCGATTGGATGCAATCTGTATCCAGCCAAAGTACTTGGCTCGGGCAAAGATGCAGCAATCTTTCGAACAGCTTCGTCGTCAGCAGAAGAAGACAAGTTGTTTGCTTGCTCCTCAGCTTCGGCATCAGTGGCAGCAATCTTGACTCCTGATTTAGGTTGAAATTCGGGAATTTCGATGTTTTCCAAAACCTTGGTGTCGATATTGTCTTGTTCCTTTAATCCGTATATGAACGCCAACAAGTTTGCCCCTCCAATAATGAAGTCCAAATGATCTTTATTGTTGATATCAAACTTCAAAGGAGTAGGAGCACGTTTAGGTCCAGACCAGAATGGCTCCCCGGTTGAAGTCTTGGCATCGTGTGGAAAATTGTACAATAATTGTTTAATCTCGTGATTGTATTTGTTTTCAAATTCCAACCTTGCCCATTTGATACAGTCTTCAAAACTATATGGACGTTCGTTCAAATATTTGGAAATGTTCTCTAAAGTTCCCTTCTTGTCTGGATTTTGTTTCAAAGACAGTTCGACATAATTTGGTTGACTCAAATACAAGTTAACACTCTCCGGTGAGTCTACAAAATAACCTTGAAATAACGACTTCGCCCAAGCAATGGTGTGATCAATCTTACTTGGGAATGAACGCAAAGTACACAATGGAATCGATTTCTCTGGGGGATCGTGAGATGAAGAATAAGATTCTGTCAAAAATGGCACAACAACTTGTGTGTTTCCTTTAGTTCCCAAAGTTCCTGATTCCAACAATGGTTTTTGGAAAAAGACACAGCGGCTATCGACATAAGTTCTTGCTTCAACATTATCCAATGCATTGGTGACCAAATCTAAATTGGTCCAAAATGCGTCATCAAAAATATCCTGTGTTTCTGGACCAACCTTGTCCAAACGTGATTCAATTTTACCCTTCAATGCTGGATTCATGGCTTGAACTGCTTGTGCAGCAACATCTGACTTGTTTTTTCCAACATCCTTAGGTCTAAACAAGAATTGACGATTCAAATTAGACTTTTCAATAGAGTCATTATCAGTGATGAAAATCTTACCATCTGGTCCTGAGCCTAAACCCATCATTGCCCAATTTTTCAACATTTCGCAACCAATGGCACCGGCACCAACGAGGAAAACCTTTAAATTGGCAATTTTGTCCTGGAAATCTTTACCAAAAACAGCAATTTGCCCATCGTACCTTGAACCAAGAGGTTTGTTGTTTTCTTCGTTACGAGGGTACTCTTCTTTACCAGGTAAGGATTCTAAAGAATCAAAATATAGCCATTGCTTAATCGGAGTGAACTTGGAAGAGCAACACTTCAAAACCTCTTGAGCAATTAAACCACCATAGAATGCCACCATTCCTGGAATATCACCCTGGGCTTGGTAAAACAACTCCTTCAAGTAGGACTCGTTGATATCTTCAACATTGTTCTGTTTAGCCAACTGCTCAGCATAAGCAAATGCTTCATTTGCATCCTCAACGTTATAAGGTTTTGGTAATCTTTGTCTCTTTGTTTTGAATGCATGCAAAGCTTGGAAACCGATATGCAACTGTGCTGGTTTATCAAACTTTGCAAAATCAGAAATCAAAAACTCTGGGTTCTTCAATTGTTCAAGTAGTGGTTCAAATTTGACATCTTTGGGAACTTTTACTTGAGTATAAAGACCTCCCTTTTTGTATTCACCTTCGATTCCATCCAATTTGATCTTGAATGCATATGGTCCCAATACTTCAACCTTGTAAATACCTTTATTCAAACCTGGCAATCCTTCAACTTCAGAGAATTTAACGAAATTCCCATCCTCAAGCCCATGTCTATTTTCATCCAACATAGTAACTGTTCCGTTTTTTTCAATATCAGACACGATTCCTGATAACGGCTCTTCACCAGTTTGGTCCACTATAGTAAACTTGTCGCCGAAATCAACAAAGATTTGACCGAATAAACCACGAACATCGGCATTTATGTATCCAATCTCATTAGCATGGGTAATTTGATTGATTTGGACCTGTTCCTCCAAAGAAATATTTGTTGTAACAATACATTTGAATTTCAACAATGTTTCTTCCTTGATATTGTCAATCACACTGATTGGGACATATGCATTCAATTCGCGTAATTTGACTGCACTAACTTGGTCTCTTGGTTTACCGATATCTTCCTCTGAGAGAAAAAATTGTGTTGACAAGTCCTGAATTTGAATTGTGTTTGGATCGTACAAACTCAATGACTTTACACCAGCAAGGGCAATGTTTTTGGCAATTTCAACTCCCAAACCGTTCAATCCTATGATCAATACATTGGCATTCTGCATCTTGAGCATTGCTTCTTTGCCCAAGACATACAACTGACGTGAGTATAAACCTTCGTCAATCTCAGGTTGCAATGGCGAATCAACTTGCATATTGTCGGACATGATTGAGTGAAAGTAATATGTGTGCTTTTGATATGAATGTGTTTCGATAAAGATAAGCAAATGTTTCCCGTCCCCCCTTTCGGTGATTCCTCTATCTAATTGTAGTTAAAATTGATGAATGTGTATGTTACGAAGGGCCTTCTATAATCGTGTAAAACTTTCTTCTAATTCTGCTGTCAAAAATATCAATGAAAAGCAAAAAGAAAGAGTTTCAACGTACTACTACCATACACTCTCTTACTAATGTATTAGAGTGGGTAGCGCATAATGGCAAAATGAATAAAGGAGAAAGTGTAATGTGCTATTGTTCAAACAGAAACCATTCTACGGCTTATATGCAGGCATCTTTCTCTCTCTCTCTCTCTCTCTCTCTCTCTTTTGCAATCAAAGAGTAGTCAGTTACACGTACTACATACACTTTTCATCTCTATATACGTCCCATCTTACTTCAATTGACATTGTATGCTGCAGTTTCATACTCTTGCACCTTGTACTCCTTCATCAACTGTCTCAAATCGATAGACTTATCCTTAGGATCCATCCTCTTCACCACTCTTGCCGGAACACCCATCACCAACGAATTAGCAGGAACATCTCTGGTCACCACACTTCCAGCACCAATAACACAGCCTTCGCCAATGGTAACCCCACCGATTATTGTACATCCGCCACAAAGCCAGCAATTATCACCAATTGTCACAGGAAACGCATTCTCCAACACTTTTTCATCACCGCCCTTATCTCCCCCATCCGCATTCTCCTCCTCCCCTTCTTCTTCTTCTTCTTCTTCTTCTTCTTCTTCTTCTTCTTTCCTCGGTTGCGCCTCAGCACTGTACACCCGTAAATTTGGATCGATCGGATGGCTGGGTGTCAATATTGAAACATTTGTGCCACACAATACATTATCACCAATTTTGACCACTGAACAATCCAATATCGTCAAATTGAAATTGCTGTAGAAGTTCTTACCCAAATACGTATTGAATCCATAATCGAAATAAATGGGGTACTCCATAAATGTTCCGGTTCCCACATGGCCAATGAATTTTTCAAGATATTCCCTTTTAGCATTGGCAAATTCATCAGCGGATGCGTAATTCCTAAATCTGAATTGTCCGTAGTCTAACAAGTAGTCTCTAATTTCCATTCGTACTTTAGTTAGTTGTTGTTCTGCTGGGTTGTACAGCATGCCCGATATCATGCGCTGATAGTTGTCATCGTCATGTGGAGTATGGTTTAGACAAGTACGAGCAAATTCAATCAACTCTTGGTTCTTTTCGGTGTTGACTTTCCACGGAGTTACTGTCATTGTAGAAAGGAGACTGCTGGTGCAGATTTGGTGGTGTTGAAGATGTCGTCTAACGAGTGTGTGCCGGTGCTGCGGGTGGCTCCGTTTGAATAAGTGTCGAGCTTTGAGTGGATCTCGTCGGGATCAACAGCCCAAAGCCCAACCGAGCACAAAAAAAAATAAAACAAATTGTGTTGAGATTTCACTTAAACCAAAGATATAGCACAACATCAATACATAAGATGACAGTCACCCTTCATTGTCTAGCAGACGTGTGTCTCATACCAGTATGTCCCCTTCTCCCCCTCACTATTATAGCTTAGAATTGCGTCACTTGTCCCTTTCAACACCGACCGACAAGCTCGCGACGCAATGTCTGCACACACACACACACACACAATGTTGTCCCTCGTTTCCTCTTACTAACTCCATTCCTTTACCCAGATTGGTACAGGTTCAGCCTCAGTTTCCGATGAAGTCACAATAATCACCAAATTAGCCCAGAAATCACCATTGGCGACCACTTTACATTCAGCAGGCACGACGATTGCTGGTCCATGGAATGAAGTGATGGATTTGATTGGATCGATGCATGAGGTGTTGCACAAGAGAGGCGTTGCTCGTATACAGAGTGATATTAGAGTTGGGACTAGGGTTGATAAACATCAGACACCTCAAGAGAAGATCGACGTGGTGGAGAGAAAGTTAAAGAGTACATCGTCGCCATGAGAACAATGTCATAATTATAGTTGCACTAGAGGACCCGAGTCTACTTTGATTCACTATCCTTTCTGGTAGTTAATTGTTACATATAAAAACTGTAGTAATACAAACGATGATGCATATAGGTTCTGAAATTTTGTTAAACCATCGAAGAAGCGCAACGTTTCCGATCAAAATTTTTCTTGGCTAATCAATCGTATTCAATTTAGCTTTGATGCACTGTGTATGATGTGGAGTTGAGGTTCAACTCCGATGACGTTCGCTCCATCAAAGGATGGCGAATGGAGATTTTCATCACTGCTCTGTTTGTTGTCAATCACGAGCTTCCCCGCCCTCGTCTTTTCCTTCAGACACACAATAAATGAGTAATGGCATAAATTGCCCACAAACTCACACACACTCACACCCTCTCTCACAGTCTTTCTTTCTCTCTCTCTCTCTCTCTCTCTCGACATATAACACAGCTAAAATGTACATCTTAAACGCACATGCACAAAACCTAATTGAGATACAGCGCCAATGCTTGTGAAGTTTCTTTTTTCTTTTGTGTTTGTCTTTTTCCTCTCTCTCTCTCTCTCTNTCTTTTTCTTTGTCTTTTTCTTTGTCTTTTTAGTTTTGGTTGAATGATCGGCAAAGGATCGGCAATACTTTCAAACTAAAATACACGTCATGACTAAATCTTCAACATCTCTGTCCAGGGAAAAGAACAATAGCCAAGACCCCCCCCCTCCCCCTTTTATCCGAATTGTCTCACCTTTTCAATCCCTTTTGTCAGGGTTTCATTTCTTTTTTTTTTTTCGCAACCTAAGTTATGACCATTAGACTTTGCTTTGCAGTTACCCCTCTTCTGTATCATGTCTTAATAAGGCTTGGTATAAATATTGGATGAGGGTTGTTGAGTGATTTGGTTATCATCACGATAAAAGTTCCTCTGGTCATCAGAAACATCTTTGGATCCAGAAGTACCACCACCGCCTCCATCGTCTATATCAACTCCAACAACTTTGCTCATTTTCTTCTTCCGTTGTTGTTCTCTTTGTTCGATTGTTTTATCAGTCAACTTCTTTTCCTTCACCGCCTCCTTAATCAGTTCTTCGCTAACTCCAAAACTTGCTGGATTCAGCCAAAATAAGACTCGAACCATTTCTCGAACTTCGAAGTCATTGAAGTTCTTATTGGTTGATTTATTCAATTCAGAGGCAATATACCTCCATTTTTCAAACTCGGCTGGATCCAACAAATTTCTCAAGAATATCTTATCGTTATTATCCCAAGCACTTGAGTTATTGTTACCTTGTTGTCCAACAATAACTTGATATCTGTTTCTCGCAGTCAAGTAGGATCCAACACCAGTAATTTCCGCAATTTCATCCCAACTTTTCCCACTTCTTTTCAACCGAACAATTAAATCATCTTGTTCTGGTGTAAACCTCGATTTCCGCTTAGCTCTTTTAGCTGTAGATGATGCTGTAATGTCAGGACGCACAGGAGCTTTTGCCAAGGGCGGATGAGGGAGAATTTTTTGCAACCGTTCAGGGAAATTGGGTAGGATAACCATCTCATGGGTTTCAACGGGACTAGCGGTTGCTGTTGCTGCTGTTGCTGCTGTTCCTGTTGTTGCTGCCACAGCTTCTGATCCCTTCAATTTGCGTTCCTTTTGAATAGAAGAAGACGTTGGCGATGCTGAAGAGATTGATGGGTTATTTACAACAGGCACATAGTACTCTTGTGGCGGTGGAGGGTGTTGCTGTTGTTGTTGTTGAAAAGCCAATTGCGGACGTGGCTGGTAGCTTGATGGTATAGCTTGGTACATGTAATTGTTGGCATCATACAACAGTGGTTGTGGGTGCTGTATTTGCTGTGAGAATTGTTGCTGCTGCTGTTGTTGATGGTGATGATGTTGCTGCTGTGGTGGCAATTGTCTTTGACTATTATGTGCTGACATCGGTTGTGAATACTGTAGCTGATATTGTAGTGGATGCTGGTACGGATGCAACTGGTGTGTTTGTGAGCTGGGACGGGGGAATGATGAACTCACTTGTTGTGGTTGTAGTTGTTGTTGATAATTCTGTTGAGGGGTCGTGGTATTTGTGTCTTGTCGGCTCAGAATTTGATTGTGTCCTGCCTGTTGCTGCGGCTGTTGTGACAGTTGTAGAGGTCTGTTTGTAGAGGTGAAGCTACTTGGCGTAAACTGTTGTTGCGATGGTGTAGGGTGGTGTGCTTGCGGTTGTTGTTGTAATCTCGAAGCTTCCTTGTGATTCAAATTGTTTGGAGGTAGTGAATAATAGTCTTGGCTATGCTCTTGCTGTAGATCAGAGTGTTGTTGAAAGGGATACTGCACCTGCTGATATTGTTGAAGAAGCTTTTGTTGTTGTTGTTGTTGTTGTTGTTGTTGGTTGAGTTTTTGCTCCTGATCCTGAAGTTGTTGTTGTAGTAGTTCCAGATGTCGTTGCTGCTGTTTCTGCAAATACTGACGCTGCTGCTGCTGTTGTTGCCGTTGTTGTTGTTGTTTTTGATATTGTTGCTGGGGATAAGATGTCGATTGGGTGGGTCTAAACATATTTAAGTAGAAGTAATAGCACACTCAGAATCCTGGGCATAGAAATAATATACTTCTCAATCGTACGTGATATTATATTTGAAAGATCCTCTCGCCAATACTAATTGGGCAAATAATAATAATTTTTTTGATATTCAATAACTGTTGTTTTTATTTGGCTTCTCCTATAATCCAAACTTCTTTCAATGCTGATGCTCTCTGTGAATATATCTAGTTTGTTTTTTTTTTTTGCCCAATATTATATTCCTTTCAATTGACCTCTTGCAGTAAAAAGAAACCTTCAAGACTAACTGGCGAATTTTTGGAGACTTCTACAGTAGCTTATTGTTGATAGTCTGGGGAGTAACAGTTATGTCTTTTTCGGTAGCTGAATGTATTATTATCGTTATTATGGTTATTTTTAACGAAATGTATCTTCTGCTTTATTATTATGGTTTCTGGCCCTTTTTTTTTTTCTAAATTTTCTTTTTTAATTTTTATTTTTTATTTTTTAGTTTTTATTTTTTATTTTTTATTTTTTTATTTTTTATTTTTTTATTCTTAATTTTATGTCTAATTTTTGCTTTTGTCTCTGAATTTTATTGCTTTTGGGACTTTTTTTTTTTTTCTTATGAAGCTACGCTTTATGATTTGTTCTAGTGCTTTGGCGGTTGATCGTGGAAGGCCCTGTACCTCAATGTACGCAGTTGCTTAAGATAATGTGGACTGGGTGCAGTGTGTGGAGTGATGCGAAGCAATGTAAGTTGTTGTGCTGTATTGTGATGTATGGTGATGTGACTTGTGCTGCTATGACGTGAAGAAATGATTCCTATTGGTGTATCTACAGAAGCATGCAGAACTCTTGCATCATGAAAATGTTGAAACTAAGATTGCAACTCAGTATGAATTAAGTAGTGGTTTGAGATTGACAACAGAAAAACAAAGAATTGACGAGATAAGCCGAAACTTTAATTTCAATAGTTAGTTTCTTCCTTTCACCAACAATTATGCGTTGTTGCAATTGCTCTTAATTATATTTTTGGTTGTTTGTTTTATTCCCCTTGTCTCACTGGAAGCCAGTTTGTGTGTTTGTTTGTGTGTTTGTTTGTGTGTGTGTCTGTTGTTCTGCTTCAAGACTTTTTAGTTTGCCTCTGTACATAACAACATTAGAAAATATAGGCTCTAAAGTGGTATTTGACAACCCAGTTGGATGGTGAATATTGAAATCAAATCAAGGAAGATCAGACACTGTTATCAATATTTGTTCGTGATCTTTTTCTGTTGTATTGTTTGTTAATAGTTGTTATTCAGGAGACAAAGGCTAGAAAAAAAAAAAAAAGGAGGCAAAAAAAGTACACAATAGGAATTCCGAATGAGCCACAAAAATCAGAAAAATTATTAATTATATAAAAAAAAATATAAAAACTTAAGACACACACAAAACCCAATTACATCATTAATTACTATTATGAGAATAAACAAACACTAAAACTATGCACAATGCAAATACAAATAAATTGTTAATCATTTTACATTACAAGCACAGCACGTGATGAGAAGAAAAAAACAAGCAACAAGCAATAACAGCAGCACTCCACTGCAAGTACTAATATCTGCTAACTTACTGAGAAGGTTTGCTTGATATCAATACAAACTCTTGCAATGGTTAGACAAGTCAGTCTGGAGACGAGATAAGATTGATGCTTTTTTGATAAAGATCTTGGGGTATCAACAGTTAAGAAAAAAACTCGCACAACACAAATAGACACGTGAATGTGCTGTTGTGTTTGATGAATAATAATAATAATAATAATAATAATAATAATAACGTATTGTGTGTTTATTGCAACTAGTAATAAAAATAACTATATGTAATGTATGTCTATCATTTGGCAATTATTATATTTGCATGCACGTGGTTTTAATTGCTATTGTTACTGCTATTGTTGATCTACCAGTTTTGCTGTTGTTTTAGTTGTGTTTTACGTTCATACTCTTGTGATTTTTTGGAGTTTGTATCCTTCTATACTCTAGAAATAATGAGACGAGCAAGGGTTAGTACACTCTGTATGCGCATGTATATTAGCTGAGTTATGCATACTTGCCTCTGTTTGTTTTGTTTGTCTGTCCTTGTACATATATTGTGTGCAATATGGAATTCACTGTATATAATATTACAAAAGTACACGAACAAATATAATATTCTATGCATATATACAAAAAATATCTATTACAGTTATAATATTCCCATAGCGAAAACAATAAAAAACAACACCAACAACAACAACAACAACAACAGAGGCAGATCTTAATAGTAACTACTGTCACATAGATTACAGCATTCGCCACTACACACAAACAATCATCTATCTATCTTTCTCTTTCACAACAGTTGTTTATTTTTATTTTGTGCTTTGCAACCCACCCCCTCTGCTGCCCTGACTAAAATTTTAGAGAAAACAAAGGCAATACCCCGGAAATGTGACATATGCAGATACACATAATCAATCCATGACTATAGTGTCTATTTATATTTATGCCTGTCGTATTATGTTCTAAACTTTGTTTCTCTGACAATTGAAAGACTCGGGTATACTTGCAAGTTGATAACTCAATTTTTTTTTCTCTCTCTCTCTCTGTAGTCTTTTTTTGTCTGTCTGTCTGTGTTCTTTTTTTTTTTTTTCACTTGTTGTTTTATTGACGCGACATGAAATTTCACAAAACACAAGTACAAAACTGAACTTTAAAGCTCAACTTAATCCATTTTGCAGCTAAAATGAATACTTTATCAGCATTCGTCACAGTAGGAGATCTTGTATAATACACTTTCAAAACTGTTTCTCCAACTCTCCCTCGTACCTATTCTCTGCCAACACATCATATTAGCTACGTTTCTTCCTTTGTTTGTCAGTGTATTGGTTCCGATTGCGGTGGTACTGTGCGCGGGATAGCCCTCACACGACTTCCGCTCTGCACACAGAACAAAATGGCAAACTATTTGTGTACAAAAATCCGACACAAAACAATAATTGTCGTCGTTTGGCTTCCACGCATGAAATTGACATCCACATCCACATCGACATCGACACCGACACCGACGCTGACACCAAAACTTGTTCAGTGATTGAGGTATAGTCTCTACCTTTTTACTTCTTTTGCATCCATACCGAAAAAAAAAAAAAATTATTTTTGAAAACATGACAGCCCCAACTTGAACTTCTTTAGCCATCAACACTACTTTACTATCTTTTCACTCCAATAAAATCAACTTACTGCAAAAAAAGCAAAACAAGCAAAATTGAATTGGTTGTAGTTGTGCAGAAGACGTCTACTGCCTACTCGAATGATATTTTCAAGATTTAAACTTCCTTAGAGATTTACTCCAAGTCCTCTTTTCCTTTGATTACAATCTCAAGATCTGCTCTTAAACTGCAATTTTAAATAAACTTGCACTAAAAACCTCATTTCTTGTTTGCATAGGATTATTTTTTTTTAAAAAAAAAAAAAGAAAGGCGACTTAAAAAAGTCAAATTCATAACTGAGATGATAGCCCACTCTGTCACTCACATTATTAGGTGGCACCATATTTCCCGTGATAAATATCTCCACTTAGTGCTGTGTATATTGCCATCATACACAGCCTAAAATATTTCAAACACTGTTTCTCACCCGTGAATACTTTTTTTCTTTTTTTTTTCGGTTCAATTTGCAACAATATAGATACAAAATTCTTACAATGGTATTACAAAACTATTGAGTTTTCAAAAAAAAACCATCACCCTACTTTTCCAAGACAAAACAAGAGAGTGCACAGGATTTTTTTTTTTTTTTTAAAAAAAGCGCTTAAAGGACGGATGCACAGTTGAATACAAAAAAAGAAGAAATAGTAAAGCTTAAGAATAGAGAAAAAAAAAGAAAAGCTTTGTTGTATGCCGGTGCCAGGAATCGAACCTGGGTTTAGTCGGAATTGCTTTTGAAGCCACAACGACTTGTACTAACCTCTATACGACACCGGCTTAAACCAGTTCAACCACTAGGCCATCTGATTAATTTAATTGAAGAAAGTGCCTATCTGGATACTAGTCCGCTAAATTTTAATCACGGTTAAATACTCACGTGTAGTTTTTAAACGTCCACATTATGTAAGATAATGACGTATAGAAAGACGCTAGCTGATTTACAGTATGGTAGGAGGTGGTAGTACTATAGTTAGGCTATATTCTAACCGAACCACGAATGTTTTGTTCGATTCTATACCATCTCAACAAATTCTACTTCAAATGAGGCATCTTCATTTGTCCTAACCCTTGCACAGCAGGAATAGTCAGCTCAAATTATCAAAGGATATTTCAGCTACACTGTCCGGTTGAAGAAGTTATACGCTTTGCGCCCATTTTCAGCTCCAATCAAATCAATCAACTCATCTTGACTCAACTTGACCAATTCCGCAATATTTTCTACCCGTCGTACAATCTTATACATGTTCAGGTTGTTGATTCCAGGAACACTCCGAAGAAAATCAATAGGGTCGTCATTGAGCACAGCAGGGCCGACACCACCACCACCTACACCACCAACAGCATCAATGTCACTATTGACACCAACTCCTCCTTCAACAAGCAAATTCTTGTTGACACCTTTGTCCAATGCCATTCCAACATCTGGTTCATCTTGGTTTGCTTTCAATTCAAGAAATATTTGCGCTGTTTCATACGGCGACGAAGACCAGATGATTTTCAATTTTGGAAACGAATATAGCAAGGATAGTATTTGTGATTGTAGTGAATGACGCAATTTACTGTCCAACGAAGCAGACGCCATTGTTGATTTATTGAGACTCGCCCTGGTCTTGATAAATTTCGACTCAGTAAATGTCTCCAATGAAAACGACTTGTTTTCATCAAATTCAATCAACAAAACTGGTAAGTCATAGTGCTTAAACATTTGTTCACATTGATGATAAAGTCGACCACTTTTGAAACTTCCAATTAGATCTGGAATCGATTTCCGCTCAATACAAATTTGTGGCGACACAATATAATCACCGACTGTAATCATACATGGAACAACTTGAATACCTATCTTGTACAATAGATTGGGCAACGACGAGCCAAACTCTCGAACATCAACAACAACCCTCATCTCATCATGCTCGGTACGGAACCTAGCTCCACCTGCAATTCTTGTGTTGACAACTTGTGATTTATGTGTTTGAAATTTGATATTGTCTTCAGCAGTTTCAAAATGTTTACCCAAGTTGGCTTTTTCTCTAATCAACTTGGTGAATGCATCCTTCTCCTTTTTAATACGCAACAAATGCTTCTGCTCCTCGACAGAGTTTCCATAATACATGAAATACACCTTGGCCGGGTTTTCATGGTTGATTGCTTGATAGATCTCAATTCTTCGAATAAATGACAAATCGGGTTCGAACATAATGATATGTGACGGAGATAACTCTTCCAAAAACGAAGCATCATGCTTGTCATTATACACTTGCACTATGATTTGGTCACTAGTATCAATCGGTTCAAAAGTTTGCTGCTTAGATGGAATGAACCCACCAGCTGAACTATAACCAGCCTCAATCTCTTCCTCTTCCAACTCCCCTTCCCCCTCCTCAGCCAACAAATCAATAATATTCTTCTCTTCCTGCTCATCGTCATTTTCGTCATTCCCACCATTCTTCCCAGTATGCAATTGATGCACACGTGCAACCACACTTGCTCCCCGGGTTCGCCTTCTTTTACTAACAGGTTGCCCATTTCGGGAAAACGTTTTGGAAACAGTTACTTCTGTGTCTCCAGAAGCTTTCTCATTCTCTTCTCCTGCACGTTCCAAATCCTTGGAGATCTGCTTCACCAAGGTGCTTACCTCCTTGTACTGTAGGTAATTGCGAAGTTTACCCATCATGTATGACCGACATGAAAAATATGCATTAGACCCAGCCTTCTTTCTTTTCATTGTTGTCAAGACGCGATTCAACTGATTGGCAACATTCCTGCTTGAACACATAATCAAAATCCTCCCACTTCCCTGCACTTTGTTCTGCGACGTTTCATTCAATATATCACCAATTAGCACCCCCAATTGGTTCCACTTTGGCAACTCTTCCAAAATATACTCTCCATTGTGCTTACCCAATGCTCTTTCTTTGGCGTATTGTATAACTGTCTGCGATTCATCGAGGTTCAACCAAGGACTCATGGACCTATTCATGCCCTCCACCGTCTGTCTTAGATTCACGTCCACTACATTCTTCACTATTTGATAAAACGTGACTGAATCTAACGCCACTAAACTTTCCAACAACTCGAGCAATATCGCTAAATCATTTAACAATTGCTTTGTGGTATACGTCAAACGGTGCCATTGAGGATCCAACGACATTCGAATCACACGCACAAAATTCGGGTCATGTATATTTTCCATATCCCAATATTCTGACACCAAAGTAGGATTGTGTCGCTTCAACTCTCCCAAACACGCTTGAATACATGATAGTAATGCGGTTTGTATCTTGTTCATTTTGTAGGACATTTGAGTGTTGATTTCAGTAACAAATCGTTTGCTATCCCTTTTCTTATGGTATTGAAATGATTGAGTAACAGTGACATGGAATCGTGGCCAAAGACTTACATTCAGAACTCGTAATACCTTCAACTTTGTCGCTAGTGGAGTAAAACCAGTAAAAGATTCAGGTTCATCCGAGAATGCTTTGATGAATCCCCAATCATTTTTATCTCGAAACAAGCTAATAATAAAGGCATCATTGGACGTTTCCTTTAATCTCTCAGCATGCAAGACAAATAAGCCGGTTATGTCGTTAACATCCAACACGCCAGACAATATATCAACCACCAACACACGGGGTGTGATCGAAATTATCCCGCCTTCTGAATATATCAACTTTCTTTTTGACGATTGCGATTCACCTGAAACACTCACAAATCTATTGCCATTGTCTTCATTGATCCAACTCAAGTTATCCAACTCCTCACTCAATCGAATGATTTCAGGATCCCTCGCGTTCAACAAGAAGACCAAACTTCTTTTCTTTTGCGCTTTACTCAATTGTATAAACGGAGAACTTAGGGAGTATAATAGATTTGCAGTTATGGATTCCCACCCCAAGCCTCGTCCTAAAATTAATAACGCATCTTTGACCAACATCTCTTCAAGAATCTCTTGCTGATACTTTAACAGCAAAGAACAGTTTACTTCGCGGTGAGGATAAACTGGGATTGTGGCCTCATCATGGTATACAACTGGAATGGATGGGTTGACGCGCGGCGCAAAGGACTGCGATTGCGATTGTGAGCCTGTAGGTTGTGGCTCTAATGATATAACTTCTTGGTTCTGTTGATGAAGTAGCTCGGATTGTTGCTCCTCTAAACCATCTTCATCCTGTACAAACAACGATGACATTTGTACAACCCACTGATGGCAAGTGTTGCTAGGCTTTGGTGGTGCAGTTTTTTCTATTGCGCGTTTTGTGGGTAAAAGAGAGAGAGAGAGAGAGAGAGAGAAAGAGAGAGAAAGATCACTTTCACTAAACAGTTTGGAACTTAAGAAGGACCAAGTTTATACATGATAATCAACGTGATAGAAACATGGGTTATGGAGATGTGAACTCGCTCAACTCGAGTTGATCANAATTACTGGACAGATATGTGAGTATTCTGGGAGAAATGAATAGTTAGATCAGGAATGAATTGCCTTTGGAGCAATGCTAGTGATCATATTGGGAAGCTGCACCAATTTGTAACAGGATCGGATGGTGAGGAATTGGCGCCATATACTCCTAAACCTAAGTCCAAAATACTTCTCTTTATCGAGTCACATTTTCACATCAGCTGATCGTGACTCAGTATCCATTGACAAGCAAAACAATAGATGAGGTTTGTTTGAAGTTCTTGACTTTCATTGCTGGTGAATATGAAGGGATTTGAAAAATCTGTGGTGGTCACAATATGACCAGTTCATGCAACAGAAGAGCTGATAAGAGCTGATTGAATAGCCAGCAACAACATCACTTAATTGAGGACGGGAGGGACGAAATATTGCACAATAGGATTGAATGTGTTTGACAACTAGCTCAAGCAATTGGACTGTTCCACATCATCAAGT